AAACTGGATTTGCCAATAGCACACACTTGTTTCTCCATGTTCAGTGAACTATCAAAGTATACCCTAGCCCTACTCCAACAATGTTAGAGATTTTACACGGCGAGATACTTTTGACAGGCGGCGTCGCAGTCGGCAAAATCATATCCGATAGAAAAAAGCCGACCAGCACCAGACATCTATCTGTCAAAATGTCTTAGTCTATTGTTAGGGCCATAGGAAACTCGGGCTAAGTATACCCCTTGGTTTTTAACAACTGGGAGGGTCTCAATAGTTCTGGCACCGACCTTGAGCTGGAGGGCCCTTGTTTGCTGACACTTTGGGGAAAAGACAGTAAGTTCCGTCTTTTCCTGATTACGCTTTAGCAATTAGCATGTTGACGTTTATGCAGGTACTGATGTCTGTCAGACAAGCTTCCAGATGATGGCCATGCAAATGTGTGTGTCATCAGGATAACAATGATAGCGAAGGCAATGGCTTCGACAAATCTCTCCGATCGGTTTGGAATAGAGACAATATGTTCGTGATACTAACACCGACCCTTGAGGAACCCCGAAATCTAGTACTTTTTCATGTGAGATAGTAGATCGGAGGCAACACTGTCGTCGTTCACTCAGATAAGACTGAGTCCACAACACAAGGTTGATATACGATATTATGGATTACGCAGAGAGAAATGATATACCAGGGATGCTATTGATTATCGATTTTGAGAAAGCTTTCGATTCTGTATCTTGGAAATTCATTGATGAAGTACTAAACTATTTTAAATTTGGGGAAGAGGTTAGAAAATGGATAAAAGTTTTACATAAAAATGCAGTTTCTTAAATAAATCAAGGGGGGAATTTATCAGAATTTTTTGAAATAAGAAAAGGCTGTCGTCAAGGAGACCCTATTGCACCATATATATTTATAATGTGTGCAGAGATTTTAGCGATAAGAATTAGAAACAATAAAAAAGTAAGGGGTATCAATATAAATGACTGTCCTATTTTAGTATCACAGTATGCTGATGATACCTCGTTGATTTTAGATGGTACAAACATTTCCCTAAAAGAAGCAGTTGGTGAATTAAATAATTTTGCAAAAATTTCTGGGTTGAAAATAAATAAATCAAAATCTCAGGTAATATGGATAGGAAGTAAAAAGCATAGTGAGGAAGTTCTTTATCCAGAATGGAAATTACAGTGGGGAAATAAAACTTTTAATCTTTTGGGGATAGAATTTCATGTAGACTTGCATAAAATTACTAGGCTGAATTATGATAAAAAGTTAGTAAAAATAAAGGCACTTATAAATACATGGAATAGGAGAATAATTACACCAATTGGTAGAATTTTTATCATCAAATCAATACTCATCTCACAACTCAATCACTTATTTATTGCATTACCAAACCCAAATGAATGTTTTATTAAAAAATTAAACACCGAACTATTTAACTTCTTATGGAAAAGCAAAGTTGACAAAACCAAAAGAGACATTGTTATAAGAGACTATATTGATGGTGGATTGAAAATGATGCATGTGATGTCTTTTATAGAATCCTTAAAATTAACATGGATAAGGAGACTATTTACAACATCAAGTAAATGGCAGGAGATTTTAAAAACTTATATTGATTTAAATATTTTAGCAAACTGTGGGACGGAATACATTGTTAAATGTGAAATGACGAGTAAAAATCTTTTTTGGAAAGACGTGTTTAACGCATGGAAAAAGTTAGTAATAGTACGAGATAATCAATGCAAGGGAGATAACTCCTTTTCCAAAATGCCTATCTGGTATAATAAATTGTTTAAAATAAATAATGAGAGTATTTTTTATAGGAAGTGGTTCAGTAAAGGTGTAGTTATAGTTAATGACCTACTTAAGGATAATAATTCAAAATTGTTTTATACTCTACAAGAAGTTCGACAAATTTTTAAAATTGAAACAAATTTTCTTCAGTACCAAGGTCTGCTATCTACAATTAAAAGACATCTCTCTCAACAACATGAAATAAAATGTATAAGCTATCCTTATATACCTAGTAATATACAAATATTTCTAAGAAATAGGAAAGGTACAAAAGACTTTTATAGTTTGCTTTGTAAAAATGATACACTGTCAACTGGTAGAAAGAAATGGAGTAATCATTTTGATTATAATGATAATACATGGAGAAATATCTACAAAACACCATTTCAAGTAACCAAAAATACAAAACTGCAATGGTTTCAGTATAGAGTTAATCAACACATCTTAACCACAAACTTATATCTGTACAGGGCTGGAATAGTAGATAATCCTCATTGTTATTTTTGTAAATCAGACATTGAAACAATAGAGCATGCACTATGGGAGTGCAATCAAGTTCAGAATTTATTAACAAATTTTGAGTTTTTATTAGATGTTCTGTTTATTCCTTTTGCTTTTAATAAGGAAACATTTATCTTCGGTATATGTGATCAAACCAGAATTCGATACATGGTAGATAACCAAATTATTCTTATTATAAAATATTATGTTTATAAAGCAAGATGCCTAGAAAAAGCTCTATCAGTAAATGGCCTTATAAACTGTATAAAAGAGACTTATGAGATACAGAAATATATTGTGAATGGGAAAGATGAAAAACATAGACATACCTTCCAAAAAGACTGGGAAAAGTGGCAAAACCTTCTTGATATTCCATAAACCCCTCAATTTCATGATTTATATATAGAAAACCAATTAAGTGGTAACAGTAATAGATAGGAATATTCTAAGTATATTGAGCTGATATAATACAACTGCTACTGTATGATAGACAGGTTAATGTGACAAATTGTTCTTCTGTTACCAATCTTGTTCCTCTCAACCTTCCCCCCCTCTCTCTCTCTCTCTCTCTCTCTCTTTTCTTTTTTCTTTTCATATTTCTTAATTCAAATGACTATCATTTATGTACTGTGTGTGTGTGTGTATGGGGGAGTGTAAGTTTGAGCGAATGCCTGAGTATATTTTTTATTGGTAATTTGATTAAGGACATGGAATAACTCACTTTGAAGCTGTGTATGTACATGTGAATTGATGTATACAACAACTAAGTGAGTGATTTTAAATTTGAAAAATGTTTGTAAATCAGGAATGATGATGATGATATTATGAATTAATGATGATGATGATAATAATATTTTGATGAAGATACATATAGAATGATGGGTGAAGATTATAATTGAAGATGATGATTGTATAATGATAGTGATGATTGTATGATGATGGTGATGATTGTATGATGATGGTGATGATTGTATGATGATGGTGATGATTGTATGATGATGATGATATGATAATGATAATAATTATATGTTGATGATGATATATATGAAATGATGATTGAAGATTTTGGATGATGATGGATTATGGCAATGTTGATGATTGAATAAGTATATATGAAAGAGGATGAAGAAGATGATAAAGATAATGATGATGATGATATGTTGATGATGATAGAATGATGACAATGAAATTGATTGTGATAATGCTTAATCCATGTCCGTGTGTGTATATGTGATATATGTGAGAATACGTGAATGTCCTGTTTATGTATATGTAATGAAAAACTTAGAAAAATAAAACCATTACAAAAAAAGACTGGGTCCAGCATAGTGTGGTATCAGTCCCTCCATAAGAGTACTCCAGACTTTCGTAAAGTATGTTCTGGTCGATGATAATGTGGTGGCAGAAAATAGATCAAGACCTGTGTATTAATTAAATTGTAAATAGTGACTTTTTGAGGCAACACAGTGATAAATTCCTGTATCTCCTTGAATAAGAAAATATATAGACTAGCTTATAATGAATTTTATATGAGATATCAACTATATTTTATAGATGAAATATCTTTTACAAGATAAAAAGTCCACCTAAGACCAGGCATAAATGCGGCCATCCTCGATCCCAAGGAGAAATCGCAAGCGCGGTTATATGTTCATCTTTAGTTAACTAGTAACTTGAAGGCAAATATTCACAGAAGTCAGGCCCACTCTCCTCAGTTCAAGCACAGAACCGATTTCCCCAATCGGACGTGAAAAGGTATGGGGTCACCTGCCCGACCACATTGGTTTTCTCCGGGTTCTCCGGTTTCCTACCACACTAAGACCCCCTGCGCGCTAACATCCGGGCAAGCCAGAGTGATTAATATAAGTTGACATAACTTGTTTCATAATTGATGTTGTAAAATAAATCAAGTTTATATTTTTCAAGCACAGAGTTCGTTACAAATGTCTGAAATACACTGTTTATGTGTGCTGTGACCAATATTAGTATAGCATATGTGTATTTCAGACATTTGTAACGAACCCCTGTGGTTCAAGTGACTATTTTATGAATATTGCCAGCAGATAAAATTTGTATTAAAGTATTTGTGTTAAGCATCGAATCATTTTGAATACATTTGTTTAGGTAGTAATTTCTCAGTTGTGCATTATAACCACACCTGAAGAAGAAATATCGTTTCACATACTCGATCGATCTAGGGGTTCGCTATATAGATCTATATACTGGGTGCGTCTAGCTGTGGAATTACCGGTTACCAGATAATTCGAAACACTTGATATCTGTTTTATTTTTCAAAGTATTGTCCCTGTATACCGAGTATAGTGTATAAGATCACGGACTTGGATAGCAGGGTCTGATCTAATTCCGTGATAAGACGAGAAACAGCGGGACATAAGCTTTCAAAGTATTGTGTGTACTACGTACACGTATGGTACTCATTTAACGACGCATGAACTATCAAAGTATTGTGCATGTGTACCCAGCTAAAGATGAGTTAAAATGTGGCGTTAACTTTTACAGTGCGTGCCTGTATAATCAGTAATATCTACCTATCTGGTGATGACGAAGGTTCAGTAAAATTACAGTAATTGTAAGTCTATTGAAGATGAAGTAACACTGAGGCATGAACAATCAAGTTGACCAGACATTGACGACTAGACTCGACGTAAAATATGAAATTTGTGTTTTCATCGGTGTCGACCCAATTTACAGCCCTTCTTCAATTGCCCGATACACAGTTTCGGAAGTAATCTGTGCTGGTGTATTACGTATAGGGTCTATTGTCCTATTAAAACACTTCTTGTCATAGCGGCTAAAGATTCAAACAGAAAGTTAGACATATAAGGAAGCAAGACAGCTGTAACAGGTGAGTGAACATGTTTATAAGTTCGCGTTTTGTGAGATTTTATAGATTATAAACAGCCTTAACGGGACGCATGTACCGTTATCTATATCAGCCTTAAACTGAGACACAGATAATGCTTCCTGGTCCGCGGCGTATTAGAAACAGCTCAACGGTAATGACATTTATTTAGGTTGAAACTCACAAACAAAACAGTTGATTTCAATATTAGAATACAAAGTTGGAAATTAGTACCCATCTTGATAAATGATTATGAATTTATGTATTTGGCCTATTAAAAATTATGAAGGCCACATGCTTTTAGCCTCTGTATTCATACCAATCAATACATTTACCATATACAATGTGTTACTTCAGGTAATACAATGGTGAAGTAATACAATGCTGTATTACTTCAGGTAATACAATGTTCCTTACATATAATACACAATGTAAAATGTATTGTTAATATATATTACAATCATATTTCCAGTATTTGAAAGTTACCGAGTAGACCAGTATCAAGTTTTTGATATTGAAACTAAAGGAGTACAAACTACCACACACTTAGATAACAATTAATCTAATTCCGTGAAACTACCTGATCATAAAACGAATATCAGACAGTCCCGTTAAAATTAGACTCTGCTCCCTTACTGTGATACGTACAGAGAGAAAATGAAGATTATATTTCCATTAGATTGGATATCACAGTAATGGACAAAATTTGAACAGGCTTTAACCATTATGGCACTATACATTAGAGACTGGTTAAAAATTAAATCATAAATAAAATAATAAAAATCCCTTTCAATAGACGACTGTTCCTATGTCTGGTAATAAGGGAAGACACACTTTACACATTTCTGAGTGTAAAGGGACTATTTCAAAATATGGACATGTTGGTTATTTGAAGAAAAGTACTAAACTGAGTTAGCTAACTTTGTTTTTATCCCACCTCGCAGGAAGGGCCATGTGAGATTATAGTGTATGTCGTGGCACCTTGTCTATTATCAGTCGTCCGTCCATCAATAATTTCTTTTGAAAACATACACTGCTACAACAGCTGATTTGGATTCAACCATTGTAAATTTCACATTAATCCTGGGGTCATTCTTTATTCTCTACCTCCCTCCCCATCCCACCCCCCCAAACCTAAGTTGGTTTAAGTAATTCAAACTTGATTGGAATTATGATTATGTGATGGCAGTGCAATATGGTACAAAACATAAGACCCTAACAACAAGAAGTTGATCAAAAATAACTTTTATCACAATGATCATAAAGATTTAGTGCATGTTGCGTTTCTATTTATAGGAACATTCTATGATTGGTATATAGGAGATTGTTAAATACATAGGCTTTCTTTGTATTTTCTTTCAGCTACCAGCTATTACGTATATGATACAATTTGGTAAGATTCTCAACCAATTTGCTTGGTAAATCTGCTGTTAAATCTCAGGACCCTCCAAACTCGGCTCTAACCATTGATTGAGTTACCTGGTCGCTGACAATCGGAACACCATGGCAACTAGACCCAGTAGTGAAATGAGACAACGCCATTTGAAGCTTCTGAATGCCCTAGCAGACTATTTTGATCCAAAGTTGAACCAGCAAGATTATGACAAGCTAATGAACTCTTGCCGTGCCTTCCTCTCACCTATGGCTGTGAAAAATTCCCCTAAACTACTAGACGCATTACAGAATTTAGAAAAAAAGGGCACAATAGCAGTAGGAAAATATGAGGAACTGAAGAAAATTGTAAAAGAACTTGATGTCACTCTTGTAGACATAATAAATGAGGCAGAGGAAGACATTACCAGCTTAAAACAACAAGCTGCAGCCTCTGTATCTGTTCCGCAGCTAAAGGATGATGCTGGACCACCTAGCAGCCATGTCACCAACCTTAACGTACCTAGCATGTCAGGTATGAAAAAAATCGCTTTGATTTGTTAAAAGTGACATTTTTCTTATACTGGTTAATTTAACTCTAGTTTCATATTGACCATCAACCAAGCTGAATTATATATTTCAGGGTTAGCATTCCTGCATTTCACTCAATGTTTCAATTCCAGAAATGATTTCTAAACATATTTTCATTGCTATTTTACTATTTGAATTGATATAAACATTTGAGGAGATACAGCCCTTATATCTACTTTTATTTATTTGTTTTTTGTTGAGAATTGAGGGTCAGGTCATTATGGTTAAGTATTACTGCTGATCAATGATATTGCACGCTTTGTAACAAAATAACCTTTCAATTTTGTAAAAGATCAAGTTTTAATATGTCAACAAGTTCAAGTTGGAATGGAGAGTGAGCATTTCTTTCTTTACAAATGGTGACTTTAACCGATCATACCAAAAAAAGACTATTTAGACCAGCAGCTGTAATCATATGTTTGTATATCAATCTGTGTACCAAACTATAATATACAATTATAGCATGGTGATCAGGTCGATAAAACCATGTATCGACCGAAATCACCATGCTACAATAGTTTTATTATTTCAATAGATTTTTTCAAAATTGAAGAAAAAAATGTAAAAAAATATAGTTTTCCATTTTTTTTTCCATTTTATTTCCAAAATCTATTTATAGCTGGTTAATAACACTTTTTCTACCAACTTTTTTACAAAAATTCCAGAATCTGTTTATAGCAGGTCAATAACACTTTTTCTACCAACTTTTTTGAACACCTGTTCCAGAATCTATTTATAGCAGGTTAATAACACTTGTTCTACCAACTTTTTTGAACACCTGCAAACCACTCGGGTTTATAACTACTTTTACAGGTGGTCACAGGATGTTGTTTCAGCCAATCAGAGTCAGCTCAAAATCAATTAAAATAATAATGTGTATTATTATTTTTATTGATTTTTAGCTGGATAAAAAATGGAGAAAAAAAATGGAAAACTATATTTTTTTACATTTTTTTCTTCAATTTTGAAAAAATCAATTAAAATAATAAAACTATTGTAGCATGGTGATTTCGGTCGATACATGGTTTTATCGACCTAGGTTAGCAATATTGACCTCGGACTGCGGCCTCGGTCAATATTGCTAACCTAGGTCGCGTCCTCGGTCAATATTCCTAACCTAGGTCGCGTCCTCGGTCAATATTGCTGACCTAGGTCGATAAAACCATGTATCGACCTCATCACCATGCTATAATTGTATAATATTTACCTGTATGTAGGTCAGTATCACTTGCTTTAATTGCTTAAATATTTTGCAGCTCAGTCAGGTTTACAACATCAATCGGTAGGAAGTACAGACATGCCAAGTTCTCCTAAACGCAGACGAGGTAAGTATTACTAAAACCATGGAGTAGTAAATAGGATCGTCTTACCTTTGACTTAATATTGCATCATATCACACCATTTTGTAAAATTTGGTTAATTCTGTAACGATACTTTTGGGCCACTGGCAACCAAGTAGTGCTGTTTTATAGAGTGTCCAGCATTTGGATTTTGGAGGTTTCTGGTTCAAATCCAGGCCTGGCTGTGTATTTTTCCTCTCTTGATATAGTGATGCCTGTGTCAAATCCATGTTTTAAGAACATGCAGGTACTAGCCTCGTCTGTCAATACACTCATAGTATAAACCCTTATATTATGGGTGTATTGACAGATGAGGCTAGTACCTGTGTTTCAAGTGCTGTGTGTAGCTAGATTATAGCAATGGGATATCTGAACATGAGTAGGTGTAAATAGTTTTCAGGGACAAAGAACAAGAAATAGCTGGGAGAATTACAGTGGAACTAGATTCAATCCTAGCTAGCTTTGTATGTTTGCTCTACTGCTTCAGTTCATTGATACAATTAAGTCATGTATTGACCCTTAAAACCAATTAGGGGTCAGTATTCTTCAGAGGTCAAGTACATAATTAATGTTAAGATATGCTCTTCCATTAAGTTAGTTAGGTATAAGGGTGGTCTATGTGACAGTTTTGTTGTTCAGTATGATGCAATGACCCTTAACCTGGAATATATGGGGGCAGTAAGACATGACATGATGGGCCTGACTAATTTTACATAAATGGATCTCCTAGTGTCTCATATCTTCCTCATGCTGTATATGTTATAAACTGGAAATCATCACAATGCTGAAATGAAGAAGGAATAACGTTATACACTTTGACCACTGTTTTATGTGACAGAGGAATATTATTATACACTTTGACCACTGTTTTATGTGACAGAGGAATAACATTATACACTTTGACCTCTGTTTTATGTGACAAAGGAATAACATTATATACTTTGACCACTGTTTTATGTGACAGAGGAATAACATTATACACTTTGACCTCTGTTTTATGTGACAGAGGAATAACATAATATCCTTTGACCTCTGTTTTATATGTATGAGGAATAACATTATACATTTTGACCTCTGTTTTATGTGACAGAGAAATAACATAATATCCTTTGACCTCTGTTTTATATGTCAGAGGAATAACATTATACACTTTGACCTCTGTTTTATATGTATGAGGAATAACATTATACACTTTGACCTCTGTTTTATATGTATGAGGAATAACATTATACACTTTGACCTCTGTTTTATATGTATGAGGAATAACATTATACACTTTGACCTCTATTGTAGATGACACAAAGGATGATTACACTTACAAGGATGACAATAAAAGAGGACTCCTGGTGATCCTCAACTTCACACAAAAAAGAGCAGGTGAGTTGGGGTCCACTTTGTTTGTAATATGGTTGTAATATATCTTAGAAAGTTGAATTTAGGGTGCATCTATGTTCAAAATAATTTTGTATGTACTACTAATATATACCGTATATATATAGAGTGATTTCGTTAACCTCTCCCTAAGGTAAAGGGTGCCAACAAGTTTAACTATGATATTACCATGGTAACTATTCTGAAGTATTTGTTTAAATCCCTTTCAAAACAAGAATTCTATAAAAATCACGTCGCCAAGCATTTTACAAAATTGTAGTTATGCGAAATTTAAATGTTTGAAAAAAGAAATTAAAAAGCAAACAAAAATGCAGGGGTTGAATTTTGTTCCTATCTGTAATGCAAAGCCCACAGGTAGATGTTGCCATGCAGGATTATGCTAGCATAGCATCAAAATGAGTGTCCAATTTATGGGACACAAAAACTTGACAGGGGAAGTTACTCTAGGCCAGAAAAACTCCTTTTGGTTGCTTTATCTTCTATATAGAAGGGGGAATAACTCTTGAGTGTAACTCTTCTTTACAGTTATAATTAATGCAGTGGTACTTTTTACCTTAATAACAGTATAAGGATGTTTAAGACATTTATCAAGAAGGAACTAAATGACCTAAACACAGTATATAAGACAATTCCTTGAGGAAGAATAACTGACGCTATAATAGAGAACCTTACAGAGGCCATTGGAGAATATTTCAGGAGTACCTGAGGCCACATACCATTATAAATATAGAACTGTTATGAAATATACATAATTTTTGTACATCATAGAAACTTTGGTGTATATTTTATTTCAAGTGAAATGGATGTGTAGAGTTCCACTTTTATTTCAAATGAACTCAATATGAAAAGTATCACTTTAAGAAAAAAGTGATTTTAGATGTTTTTGTGTTTGTTAAGATAATATAAGCACAGGTAACATGAATAGCAATGCTTTACAGGTACGCAGTCAGATGAGGACGAATTAAAGAAGTTTTTTGAAGGCTCTTTGCATTGGGAGGTGGATATACGACAAGACCTAACCTACACCAAACTGGATCGGTACTTGAATGGCTTACAGGAGCGTCTTGGTGACCGTTCCTACGCTAGCAAGTTTTACTGCCTCATGGTGGCCATCATGAGTCATGGAACAGAGGTTGGACTTCTACGTTACTTACTTACTCTATAACATGACACTTCTGTTGTGTATTTTATTTACTTCATGTGTAACTGCCATGTTGTCTTGGCATCATTTAAAGAGTTATGGCCCTTGATGGAAAATACTGTCACATAAATGTGCATCATTTTGCATAATTTAATTTAAATGAAATGACATAACTGTCATGAAAATTATCCATTAATGCCCTCTGAAAACAAACTTCAATATTAACTTTGAAAAGTGATAATGTCATGCGAGGGCAGTCACCCATCCAGCCATCAATCACACTCAATGTGTGAGATCATCCCAGTGATACGCCTTACACTGGAAAAGCTAACTTTCCAGTATTTTGACCTCAAATTGCTTGGCTGTTACACTTTTTCCCCCTCCAAGAATTCTCATTCTTATACTTGGCCTTGGAATTCTGATGACCAAATTGACAAATTAATTTGGATACGGTTTAATACCTGGTCATAGACATGTGAAAGTCTATGAGCCCCATCTCCTCAATTCAAAGTTGGCCTCGCCTGCTCTGATGTATCCAGATGCCTTCCCAAACTACATTGTAATAATATAAATCAAAACTACATTGTCATAGGAACTAAGACTACATTGTCATAGAAACCAAGACTTCATTGTCGTAGGAACCAAGATTTCATTGTCGTAGAAACCAAGACTTCATTGTCATAGAAACCAAGACTACATTGTTGTAGGAACCAAGACTGCATTGTCATAGAAACCAAGACTTCATTGTCGTAGAAACCAAGACTTCATTGTCATAGAAACCAAGACTTCATTGTTGTAGAAACCAAGACTTCATTGTCATAGAAACCAAGACTACATTGTTGTAGGAACCAAGACTGCATTGTCATAGAAACCAAGACTTCATTGTCGTAGAAACCAAGACTTCATCGTCGTAGAAACCAAGACTTCATTGTCGTAGAAACAAAGACTTCATTGTCGTAGAAACCAAGACTTCATTGTCGTAGAAACCAATACTTCAATGTTGTAGAAACCAAGAATACATTGTCATAGAAACCAAGAATACGTTGTCATAAAAACTGGAACTCCATTGTCATAGAAACTAAGACTTCATTGTCATAAAAACTGGAACTCTATTGTCATAGAAACCAAGACTACATTGTCAAATTTGTCATAGAAACCAAGACTTCATTGTCGTAGAAACCAATACTTCAATGTCGTAGAAACCAAGAATACATTGTCATAGAAAACAAGAATACAATGTCATAAAAACTGGAACTCCATTGTCATAGAAACCAAGACTACAAAAATAACCTTCCTAACCAGCAGATCTGTCTTGTGTGTTGTAGGATGGAATCTATCCACATGATAGCAAAAAAGAAGTGAAGGAAAGGCAGGTTTATGAATATGACAGAATTTTCAACGCTTTCAAAAATGATGAGATAAAGGCATTTGCAGGTGAATATAAGAGTACATTTGTAAGAAGAAATTGAATAGAAAGTGAGTTTACCTTTAGGGAGGTAAGTTTAAGTTTAAATTGGTGAGTTTTAATAGTAGGCAATTTTAAGATTAATTTAAGAGTGAATTTTACTTGTGAGTTTAGATTAAGAAGTTTAGCAGCTAGTTGGTGGTTGTAAGTAAGATATTTATAAGAAGTTTACCAGCTGGTTGGTGGTTGTAAGTAAGATATTTATAAGAAGTTTACCAGCTAGTTGGTGGTTGTAAGTAAGATATTTATAAGAAGTTTAGCAGCTGGTTGGTGGTTGTAAGTAAGATATTTATAAGAAGTTTACCAGCTAGTTGGTGGTTGTAAGTAAGATATTTATAAACATACAGTGAAAGCAATGAGAACCATCATTGTGAAAAAGACCCATGCAAGTATTGGTATTTGTGAAAATGTGAAATTTCAAATTTTAGTATCTAGTTTGTTTTCTGGGGTTTTAACCTTAAATTGATATTTAACTGAAAAAGGTATGCTGGTGAACTAGATACTACATTATGTATTATTGCTGTTTTGGCATCATTAATTAGTTGTTCTCTGCATACTAACAGAAAAGCACTATCTCAACTTTTGGGCAAGCTAATGAAAACTTCAGGGGGAGACTTTGATGTCATATTTAAATTTCCTTTCCATGCTGGGAAATTAAATCTAAAATATTTGAGTCACATTCTACTCACACAATGAAGAAAACGATGTGCATTGTATGTATTTTGTCATAACAAGAATATTATTTTTTCTTATAAAAAGACAATTTACATACGGGTACCAGGTATCAATGGTGGTATGTCAGCTTTACAAGAGTTTGTAATAGGAGCAAGTTGTTAGTTCTGGAATTGACATCAAATATTTGTGTAAAGACACCCCTGTACTGTCTGTTGTCAGGGAAACCAAAGGTGTTTCTAGTACAGGCCTGTAGAGGGAGCCAGACCCAGAGGGAGGTAACTCAGGATGATCACGAACCTATGGAAGATGAGACAACAGAACTGCCAAGGGTCCCAGCTGCTGTTCGTATCGCTATCCCTGTTGATGCCGACATGCTCATCATGTGGGCAACTACACCAGGTTAGTTCCTGATGATGGATGAGGCTGATCCCACCACTGACATCAATGTGTTATTTATCTAAAATATGGATTTCCCAGAGGGGTCTGTACTGAATTAACAAATAAAACATTTTTTTAATTGTCAAAAATGGTTTCTCAAGTTTGCCTCACAGTTTTCATTTTATAAAAAAAAATCAATAAAGAAACTATTCCTATGTCCGAGTAGGCTAGAGCAAAATGGCTCCAACTGGCACTGTTTTCATTATTAAGATTTCAGGGAACATTATTTTATTGCAAAAGTAGGCAAAAAATTCAATAAGCAAATGGCAAAGAGGTATAGACTCGATCCCTTGGGATGAAACATGGGGAAAAAATCTTAATAAATCTCAGGTTCAATTTCAACAAACTTTATTGATAAGCATAACCAGTTGGATTGAACATCAGGCTTAAAGCCCATATTAGGTTCTCCCCATATTACAATACATTTTATTCAAATAAAATACGGTAATTGATAGAATTGGAAATTATGTAACATACAGAGAAAGATAAAGTTTATCATATATTTAAACATTTTACTTAAAATACTTCTCTGTTATTTGATTGTAAATTCTACAATGGTATAAAAATGTAATACATGCTGCTATATACAAATGCAGCTGAGTGATAAGTGCCGAATCAACCCCCGAGTTTCTGACTGTAAAGTCCATGGGTCCTTCACCCTATAGTCTTCCACTCAGGAATTGATTGCACACATAGCTCACAGCCGAAAATGTGAAAAATTCAGTGTTATTTCTTCAAAGTTTTCAAAAGATGAAATCCAAACAATATAAAGGAAATGAGATTTTATATGTATATCAATTGACTATACTTCTCACAAGTCATCAAAATGTACAATGCCACAGTAAATAAAGAGGAAATTTAATGTTGTCTTCAGGAATAACAAATATATTTCACGAGTGTGGCTAATATTTTGATATTTAGTCCATCAAAATATTAGCCACACCTGTGAAATATATTTGTTATAACTGAAGACACCATTAAATTATCTATCTATCACATTTTTATAGCATAACATATGAAAAATGGAATGAATTAAAAAAAGGGCTGGAATCAGAAGCGTAATAATTAGCGTCATTTTCTAATGATGTCAGGCTTGACAACAAGGCTACATGCCATTTTGAATGGGATACTCAACGCAATTCCGACGTTTTCTGCTTTTTCTGGTATGATTACTTATAAAAATGTTATTAACTGTATATTTCTGTAAATACTTAAGTGTGTGTACCAAACATTTAACATAACAACCACTTATTCTACCGTCACTTCATTAGAATCTGAGAAAAAAATCGTTACCTATGAATACAGCGAATAGAAGATACTGTTATGATTGATCAATATTAAAAATTGATATTTACTTTTGGTATTTGTCAAGCTGATATAATCCTATATATTTCACTGGCAAAAATGTAATAAATTATCTTATTTAATACCAGTGCATGTATACATACCAATTGACATAACAATTATTGAAAAATTACTTCAAAAATATAATCATTCATCATCCATGTATGTGCACATATGTACCACCTTGGCATATATAAGTATATAATCGTAAGTGTAAAAACAGTACAAATATTATTAGTCATTACGTGTGCATGCCCATTTACTTTATCGGCATAATTAATTAATTAGTGGAAAAATATTACGCTGACAACAAGCATAACGTATATCACAAATAGTTCAAATCTATAAAGATTTCATCAAGCAGGTGTGAATCACCATCACACAGCTGTACTTCACCCATGGGAGCAAATTTGTTATTTTATCTAAAATCATAATTGATTCTCCAACTTCGTAAGAAATCTTACAGATGAATAAATACTGTATCTTGTAAAGTTTAAAGTGTCCTCAACAAGAACAATTTGTGTTACTCCCTTTACAGGTTTTAAGGCTTTCAGAGACGTGTTTTCTGGTTCACACTTTTTACAAGAAGTGGTGGATCAATTCAAGCAGAATTATGGCACGGACCACGTAGAAACCATGCTGATGAAGGTCAGACACACTTTCGCACGCACAGATAAGTATCGACGGGAGGGACAAGCAGAAAACGAGGAAGGCAAGTGGGTAGCCAATGTACAGATGCCCTGTTCATGGACAACTTTGACTAAAATGTTATACCTCACCCAGTATAGAATTTGAATTAATGGCAATAAAGGTTTAGAAAGTTCAGTTCACTAGGCAGCTAATTTCAACAAATGTCATACAATCTAATAATATCATACATTTATTGTTCATGCAAGAAATCTTTTACCATTCTTTCAGAATTTTTCTACCTTCCCATATAAATACACATTGACCCAGTGTTAATTTTTCACCCTTCCCCAGGAAATACACATTACCAAGTGTTAATTTTTCACCCTTCCTTAGTAAAATACACATTGACCCAGTGTTATTTTTTCATCCTTCCTTAGTAAAATACACATTGACCCAGTGTTATTTTTTCACCCTTCCCTTAGTAAAATACACATTGACCCAGTGTTAATTTTTCACCCTTCCCCAGGAAATACACATTACCAAGTGTTATTTTTTCACCCTTCCCTAGTAATACACACATTTACCAAGTGTTATTTTTCCACCCTTCCCTAGTAATACACACATTTACCAAGTGTTATTTTTTCACCCTTCCCTAGTAAAATACACATTTATCAAGTGTTAATTTTTCACCCTTCCCCAGTAAATACACATTTACCCAGTGTTATTTTTTCACCCTTCCCTAGTAAAACACACATTTACCAAGTGTTATTTTTTCACCCTTCCCTAGTAAAACACACATTTACCAAGTGTTATTTTTTCACCCTGCCCTAGTAAAACACACATTTACCAAGTGTTATTTTTTCACCCTTCCTTAGTAAAATATACATTGACCCAGCGTTATTTTTTCACCCTTCCCCAGTATATACACATTTACCCAGTGTTATTTTTTCACCGTTCCCCAGTATATACACATTTACCCAGTGTTAATATTTCACCAGAAGCATTCTGGCAATAAAGGGCTATGAAGTATAATCAAACAAATGACCATCACACATATTCAAGGTCACAGGGTCAAGGGGGTTGTGAAATGAGTTGAAACCTTAAAACATTTTATCAAGGTCATGATATTTGGTCAGTAGCATGCTGGAATGAAGGGCTGGCTATAATCCTGTTCAATCTGCTTTAGAGGTCACAATGGTCATCCATGTTAAAACATTTCAACAACTTCTTCCGAGTAACCCAGAGTCCTAGGGTAAACATTTAAAACAGCTTCTTCTGAGTAACCCAAGGTCCTAGGGTAAACATTTAAACAGCTTCTTCCGAGTAACCCAGAGTCTTAGGGTAAACATTTAAACAGCTTCCTCCGAGTAACCCTGAGTCCTAGGGTAAACATTAAACAGCTTCTTCTGAGTAACCCAGAGTCCTAGGGTAAACATTAAACAGCTTCTTCCGAGTAACCCAGAGTCCTAGGGTAAACATTTAAACAGCTTCTTCTGAGTAACCCAGAGTCCTAGGGTAAACATTTAAACAGCTTCTTCCGAGTAACCCAGAGTCCTAGTGTAAACATTTAAACAGCTTCTTCCGAGTAACCCAGAGTAAAATAAGTGAAAAGGAAGTAAAGAGTGTTTACAATGTTTTCATTAATAGCCAGTTCCCGGCAAAAGTGGTCTGCTATTTTTGACTTTGAATCGGCTATATTTTTAAGAACATGTATCGGTCAACATTATAGCATGTTGAACGTTTAACTGGTTATTCTTTCCATGTCAACAACCTATTTCAAAACTTTGTGAGAACACTGGTATAGTGCGGATATTTTATCATAAAAACGTGTCATTATTATGGACTTTATGGTTGTAATTTTGTGTATGATATGGCGGAGACTCGCCGTAGAGCTTTGTATACATCATGTGTGACGTGATTATACATATGTATAAAGAGTAGATTCTCGTTTTTGTAAAAACTCTACTGTACAAGTTGTTGGGAAATTGTCTCATTACATACTTATAAACTGACACTAAAAGTTTGGTTTTAATAGTTTTGAAAACAACATAGGATTTTTACTGTCACCACAGACTTGGATATAATCTAATTCCGTGCTGTCACACATTATAGATATATATTTTTATTAGAAAAAACTCACTTTAATTAATACAATTATTTTGGATTTTTTCATGTGCCATATATTTTTAAATACATGTTTTATTTTTTTAATTAGTATTTTAGGTAGTTTTTAAAACAAGTGATGCTTTGTTGAATGTTTGCCAGCTTTTGTTGTTAACGTTGAATTTTTTATTAAAGATTATTGTGTTAAGTCAGGGACGTATAGTATATATACTGTCCCTGGTAAAGGGTGCCACGATATTTAGTAGGTAACATGCCAAGACAAAGGACTATAAAGTTTGCACAAAGGTATGACCTTGACCCACTTTCAAGGTCACAAGGTGTCAGAAATGTTCAAAATCTCCAAACAACTTTGACCTAGTGGCCAGCAATAAAGAGATTAGGGCTATGGTATGCTGGCGTAAAGGGCTATCAAACTTGTTCAAATGAGTGATTTTTGCCTGCTTTCAAGGCCAAATAGATAAAAGTGTGTCTAAGTCCTTTGAACATCTTCATATGAATAACCTAGAATTGAATGATACTTCAATTTAACCTGTAGCTGCATAGCCTGAAGAACTATTAAGTGTGGGAGCTAAATGAAGGACCTAGATCAACTTTGAAGGTCTTCAAACGAAGATTAATAGAATGTAGAGTTATCTAATATTCTACCAAAGAACAAGGTGAATATGGGTGAGCGAAACAGGCCTTTTCCACCTCTTGTAAGGACTTGTTAAAGGTTTATACCTCCCTGAAAATGTTATTTTGGTGTTAAATTTTGGTAAAAAAGTAGTTTTAGAAATATAAAAGGAGGCAGCATTTTTATGTATGAAAACATTCAATGAATATTTGGAATAGGATTCATCAGTTTGAGTTGGTATGAATAATAAAGGCTAAATTTGTTTTCAACACAAACAGGAATTAAAACTTATTTTGCGAGTTTTCAAAGGTTGTTTCGTTTATCAAGCAGAGTGCATATAACCAGAATCTCGACTCTAAGCAGCTGAAAACAACTCGCTAAGTAACAGTGTTATCAAGCAGAGTGCATATAAACGGAGTCTCTACTCTAAGCCGCGGAAAACAACTCGCTAAGCAAGCAGAGTGCATATATCCGGAGTCTCGACTCTAAACCGCGGAAAGCAACTCGCTAAGCAAGCAGAGTGCATATAACCGTAGTCTCGACTCAAAGCCGCGGAAAACAACTCGCTAAGCAAGCAGAGTGCATATAACCGGAGTCTCAACTATAAGCCGCTGAAAACAACTCACTAAGCAAGCAGAGTGCATATAACCGGAGTCTCGACTCTAAGCCGCTGAAAACAATTCGCTAAGCAAGCAGAGTGCATATAACCAGAGTCTCGACTCTAAGCCGCTGAAAACAACTCGCTAAGTAACGGTGTTATCAAGCAGAGTGCATATAACCAGAGTCTCGACTCTAAGCCGCTGATAACAACTCGCTAAGCAACAGTGTAATCAAGCAGAGTGCATATAACCGGAGTCTCGACTCTAAGCCGCGGAAAACAACTCGCTAAGCAAGCAGAGTGCATATAACCAGAGTCTCGACTCTAAACCGCTGAAAACAACTCGCTAAGTAACAGTGTTATCAAGCAGAGTGCATATAATCGGAGTCTCGACTCTAAGCCGCTGATAACAACTCGCTAATTAAAAGTGTTATCAAGCAGAGTGCATATAACCGGAGTCTCGACTCTAAGACGCGGAAAACAACTCGCTAAGCAACAGTGTGTTAAATTTGCACTTTTTGCTTGACAAAGGAAACAGACATTTCCGAAAGCTTGCAAATGAGTTTTTAATTCCCATTTGTGTTTATAACAAACTTAGCCTTTTTTTAACATTCAATGAAGCGAGATCATACCTAAGAATAGAAAATAGAAATACAAGGACTCGTTTATGGAGATATTTGACTGGAAGGGATAGATTAGAGGTTTAGGAATAAATGTTGATTGATTTTTTTAAAGAGGTTTTATATAAAGTATGTATATATGACACTGCAAGTACAAAAGACAAACAATTGTATTATTTGTGATGGATATGTTGTGTTGTGAATAAAGTGTAAAGCGTGTACTCTACATGTTTGTTATATTTAAATATATTTGTTTCAGGTAACATAGCTGAAATAGGATACGTTGTGTTGGGTTGAGAATAAAGTGTAGCGTACAGTGGCACTGGATACCAAGAAGACAAAAGTGTCATTCAAATAATTTCAATAGAGTTTAAAGTTATAATTTGAGAAGAAAACATAGGTAAAAAAAATATGTGTTTCGGGTAACATGACTGAAATAGAGTTTAGATGTATATCCTTTTCATTCTTTTTTTGAGGGGGGCTAATAATTAAGAAATTACAAAAATCACCAAACACTTTTTTAGGCCTTTTAGATTAAAGCAAAAATATGGAATTTAAATTTGGTTTCGATACCTGCCTATGAAGTAGAGAGGGTATAAATATAGTTGCCGTGTTTGTTCACACACACCAATTTCAACGACCGTTTGGTATATTTTCGTCAAACATGGTTGCTAAAATGTATCAAATGTGGTCGTTTAAATTAATCGTTGGGGTCAGTATTGGGTGGTTGCTGGTCGAGTTAGACAGATGGTCGCTAAAGACAGTTAAATTACATAGTAAAACGGGTTGGGAGGAATAACAAGAGGCCCAAGGGCCTTAGCGGTCACCTGAGTTATATCATAGGTACTGTTAGCTTTATTTTATTGTTTTGATGTGATGTGGAAATCAGCATGTAAACTAAGTGAAATACAATACTTGTCATGTCATCAAAGGATAAGAATTTTAAAATATTTGTAAATGTTCCCTTTGGGGCCCCGCTCTAACCCCTGGGGATGGGGCAGGAATTCCAAGTTTACAATGTGATACCGACCTCCACCAAAGATGATTCTGACCAAGTAAAAATAATTTCCAACAGAAAATTGTCAAAATATACCCAAAAGTGTTGTTTCCCTATATAAACTATAGTAAACTTTACCCCCTCCCCAAGGGAGAACGGATAGCTCGGGGGTCCTGAAATTTACAATTTAAATAAAGCCCCTGATGATCTTTCCATCCATGCAGAGAAAATGACTGTAATACCTCTGAGTCTGGAGAAGAAGATTTTTGAAATATTGGTTAATTTTCCCTTTGGGGCCCCGCCCTGGCCCCTAGGGTTGGGGTAGGAATTCCAATTTTACAATTTAAAACCAACCTCCTTCAAGGATAATTCTCATTAAGTAAGAATAATTTCCAACAGAAAATTGTCAAAATATACCCAAAAGTGTTGTTTCCCTATATAAACTATGGTAAACTTTACCCCCTCCCCAAGGGAGAACGGATGGCTCGGGTTCCTGAAATTTACAATTTAAATAAAGCCCCTGATGATCTTTCCATCCATGCAGAGAAAATGACTGTTATACCTCCGAGTCTGGAGAAGAAGATTTTTGAAATATTGGTTAATTTTCCCTTTTGGGCCCCGCCCTGGCCCCTAGGATTGGGGGAGGAAGCCCAATTTTACAATTTAGTAGCCTCATCTACCAAGGATGATTCTGACCAAGTTTGAAAAAATTCCATCCATTTGTTCTTGAGAAGAAGTTGATAATGTAAAAAGTGGACGCACAACGCACGACAGACGATGGACGACGGACGACGATGGAAGACGACGGACGGAAAGTGATTGGAATAGGTCACTTGAGCAAAGCTCAGGTGACCTAAAAAGTTGTCGCATAAAGCAGATAGCTGGTTGAGCAGATTTGACTATATATTTTTTGTCCGGACTTGCTGGTACGTACATCAATTCCTATTCTGACTGGAGTGTTGAAACCCTCGTGGGAGAGCCTGCTGATTTGTATCTGTAGCCTGCTTTTGATGTTGTCTGTTTTAGCAGTCACCAGACACTGAACGAGCATTCCGATTCTACACTGCTCCCAATGTGAAGGAATATTTTCTTGTCTAAAAAACCTACACCCTTGATACAAGTTTGTATTGTTACGGTACTTTATAAACTGATAAAGCCATGAAGATTTCGGTGAGGTCACCAGGCCCAAGGATCATCCCTGCTCCAAAAAGACCCTACTAGTCTAAATTGGAACATTGTTTTCTTTCTTAGTGCTGTGACAAAGTTAAGATTTTATATACATATATATATTGTAAATTGAGATATTTTTCGCTAAAATATATGTTCACTACATATTTAGTTTTCTAAAAGATATCTTCACACACACAGTATATCAGTGGTCAACGATGCCATCGGTGTAAATGCTGCCTTCGGCTAACGCTAGCAGAGGGGCTTATTGTTTTCAAAATATTTAAGCTGTATCCTATTATATTTTCAATATAGTTTTATGTAATGTATTGTAATCACTAAACAAGCATACTAAAGCAATACATGTCCCCTACCACCCCCGCTTTGTATAACACTGTAATGATTTATAAAAATGGTGCCCTTTGGGGTTAATTTGGGAAAATGAAAAGTATACAATTAGCTTGTAACTGATTTTAATGTAATAATAATACAAGAAATTGTAATGTTAGTAATATGATAGAGGAACTAGAACACTGACAGGTCAGTAAGGGCCCCGTCTTGTGGCAATATATCCCCCATAATCATCAAGAAGCAATCTGCCCATATAGCTGAGCTTGACGTTTGATATTTGTACTTCAAAAAAAATCGCAAGGAAGCAAAATATACATTTTACATTTACTATGATGCGAGTCTTGTTTCCTTCCACCTCCATATTTGCTGGGCTAACAGAATTGTAAATACCGGTGCAATACTCATTTGATAGCTTTGATTTGGTTTTTTTCACCTTATATGAGGTACCTCCTCCATCAAGAGCCAGGGTCCAAGTCAGAGATCCACTTTGTCTTTGACCTTTGGACCCAAATGACCTTGACCATTTACCAAGTGACCCTGATCTTTGCTCAGTTGACTTATTCTTTAATTCCGACCAACTTTGCTTCTTAATATCATAACAAAATGTTCATCAGTGAAAATACAAAACTTGACCTTGACCCTTTGGACCCCGTAACCTGGACCTAAGGTCATTTGACTCTGTGTTAAGTTCTGAACAACATTGCTTCATAATGTCAGAACAAAATGTTCACCAAGGAAAAAGTACAAAATTTAACCTTGACCTTTGGTCATGTTCATCAGTGAAAAGGTGCAAAATTTGACCTTGACCTATGAATATAATGACCTTGACCTTTGACCTCGACTTTTTACCTCAGTGCGTCTCTTTTGTTGAATTCCGAACAACTTTGCTCCATAATGTCATAGCGAAATGTTCACCAGTGAAAAGATGTAAAATTTGACCTTGACCTTTGAACCTAATGACCTTGACCTTTGACCTCGACTTTTTATCTCAATGTGTATATTTGTGAACTGAAAATCTTGACCAAGTTTCATGTACATCGGTCAATAAATACCAAAGTTATCAGCCAGGAACAAAATTTGTGGACGGAAAGACAGACAGACAGAGTGATTACTATAGGGCACCCATATCTCTGATACGGGGCCCTAATTATATAAAATAAAATGATTGACAACCCTGAAACTCGAAATTGTCCGAAATATTATTGTCCTTTGTAATTGTGTGAAGTTTGATCAAAATCCCTGAAGGAATGAAGCCGCTAGAGTGCTGACAATGAATTTTCTAAAAATAGTAACGGTGACCTTGACCTAACAACCCTGAAACTCAAACATGTCCGAGATATTATGGTCCTTTGTAATTGTGTGCAGTTTGATCAAAATCCCTCAAGGAATGAAGCCGCTAGAGCCTAGACAAGGATTTCCTAAAAATAGTTATGATGACCTTGACCTTTACCAAACAACCCTGAAACTCGAACTTGTCCGAGATATTATGGTCTTTCGTAATTGTGTGAAGTTTGATAAAAATCCATCAAGAAATAAATCCGCTAGAGCGCTGATAAAGAATTTTCTAAAAATAGTAACATTGACTTGACCCAACAGTCCTTAAACTTTAACTCAGAGATGTTATGGTCCTTTGTAATTGTGTGTAGGTTGATCCAAATCCCTCAAGGAATGAAGCCGCTAGAGCGCTGACAAACATTGTTGTTATGTACGTACGTACACAGACGAACGGTGAGGAAACCTATAGTTTCACCGGTAGGGGACTAATAAGGACTGTTTTCCAGGAGACATGTATGCTTGATCAATGTCTTAATTAAACTGTTTCAGGATTTCAGAGAAAACAAAACATTTTTATTATCTACATTTTATTACAATTTTGATAAAAAGTATGTTACAAGTTAATACATTGCACTGACGACAAATACAATGACCCAAGCATAGGATATGCTCACAAGTTTGACTTTAACCTTCGCTACTCATGTTTACCACAACTGTGACTTTGTTTTAAATTTAGTAGATCTATTTGACATGTTTAATGATGATGGAACTTGCTCGATATTCTTCAAAATAAAGTTATGGAATACATGCTTCAGCACTTTTCAAGAAATGCTGAACCTGTGACAGTTTCAAAATTTTGCATTAAAATTAATATATCACAAAAAAGTTCTTTCAATATTTCAAATCTGTTGTGATTTTTTTTAATTACATGCTGTATAGCAATACCTGTATAAAATATCAATCACATTTTCATAATTCATGATTTTGAAATGCCAACAGCAAACCAAAAGTTAAATGCATTTTGTCCACAATATTTTTGCATGTTTTAAAACAGTATCTACCTATTTTTTTTACAATAATGCAGTTATGATAACACCATCACTGAACCCTTAAATGATGATTTTTGCAAAGTCTGAATGAATTCAATATATATACTAACACTTATTCCTAAGAAGCCAAAAATTTGAAGAGTAGAGAAATAATGAATCAAGGAAACAATGGTTTATAATAGAACAGATCACCTTTGGCTAAAGTGACCATAAAATGTAACTGGCGTCAACTTGATTGCAGAACAAAATTGATTAGATCTGACGAATGCCAGGTATCAACAAGAAATGTATTTCAATGTAACAAGGCAGACAGACCTCCAAACAGATAAAACCCACAACCAATCAGGAATGTCCCAACAAATTACTGTAACCAATCAACAATCATCACACAACAAGGTCAATTAACAACTCGGATTATCATCAGTCATACAATTAATATACTTCATGTTAACCAATAATATCAACCAATCAGCAAGCTTCACTAATGTTAACCAATAATATCAACCAATCAGCAAGCTTCACTAATGTTAACCAATAATATCAACCAATCAGCAAGCTTCACTAATGTTAACCAATAATATCAACCAATCAGCAAGCTTCACTAATGTTAACCAATAATATCAACCAATCAGCAAGCTTCACTAATGTTAACCAATAATATCAACCAATCAGCAAGCTTCACTAATGTTAACCAATAATATCAACCAATCAGCAAGCTTCACTAATGTTAACCAATAATATCAACCAATCAGCAAGCTTCATTAATAGTGACAAATAATATCAACCAATCAGCAAGCTTCACTAATTTTAACCAATAATATAAACCAATCAGCATGCCTCACTGCCTTCAAATCACAAAATTCTTTCTACAATGATATCTTGCAGACCTCAGTCTGAACCTGTTAATTTACCAATTGCTCGGAGTCTTTTTAAAGTCAAACTACATTATTGACATTTGTAACAATCGATGCCATTAAAATCTTGACTAGAAAATTGGCTTTCAACAACGAAGTATTCAATACAATTCTTGACCAAAAATAAACAGTTAAAATTATCAAAAATATCTTAATAAAAAGAACATGTATGTTAATGTCAGGAATTCCTTTGACAAAAAAATATAAATTTCTACATTATGTAAAAACTGTTTCTATAAAAGTGTAGCAAAGGAGATCTATCAAAATAATGTTGTGACCAAATGATCAATATTTAAATGGAAGATATTTTTTTTATACAGAAATGATTTTAGGAAATTTTCATATTACAATAATTAAATTAAATTTCAATGTAAATGTACATACTGTAAATTACAAACTACAGTCCCAATATTTTTAATTTTACAACCGAAATCTATGATCACCTCACTGAGAATACTTGGTTCATGTAGAAATAGTATGAACAGTTCTCAAAAGCTTGTTAAAAATCTGTTAATCACATGCAAGCTAGCTATTATATCAGGTTAACTACCTTGGATTATTTAATGAGAAAATTTAAGGCTCTTCATGCCAAAACTTGTGGATGATTCACATAGAGTAGTCTCATATCTGAAGGAGTATAACCGTGAAGTTCAACAGGCAACAAGCCTTGTGATAAGTCAGGTTTTGAAACCAATCAAAAAGCTTACTGCGAACCTTCAATTTTGACATTTTACACGGATGCAGAGAAGAAAAAATACATTGGAAGTGGAACCCTTGGATTTCTAATATAATGTAAGGATAATACGTATTTATGTCAATTTCTACACGTCTGGTGTTAGATTAAAACTGGACCTCAAACAGTGCGTCCCCCTAAAAATAGGATATTAATTTTTGTCACGGTAATAGTAAAATCATGTTACATTGTAAATGACAGAAAAATCATAATTAAAACATTCTGATTTAACAACCTTATAGTAAAACCCTGTGTGACACAACTTCATAAATAGTTCGGTTTTTAAAATTCAGATTAAACAATACATGAAAAACAAGATTGCTATTCTTTAGGCAAAATAAAAATAAAATTGGTGTAGATATAAAATGAATATATCGTTATTGAACACATGGTGTAATAGATATGAATAGAGCAGATACTTCATGCACAATAAAAATAACCCTGTATTAATGAGTATATATGAAGTCCCAGCCTCCGTAACATTTACTGACTCCTTATATCACTGTGTGGTAGTCTACAATCACCTTCTTAACAAAGGTCTATAAAAAAAAATATTCTGATTATTTCTCAACTGTAGTTATTTAACTTTATCCAAACCTAAAACTGCAGCATGCAGTCCAGCCAGATGCAAAGCTGCATCTCACCCAAAACCTAACCTCTGTATAGTTGTATTTCGTGGGGCTAATATTTTGCAGTTGTATTGATCAGAATTAGTTTGTAGGGATTAAATTCTGTACAACATTGCCAGGGGAAAATATTGTGCTCACTGTTATATTTGGGTGATGGGATTTATGTTAGAAGTGTTTTATCAAAATAACTAAAAATAAATATTTGTGTCTTATCTCTGTTGGCAGTAAAGGAGCAAACATATCTTTTCTTTTATCGTATTAATATTTGCACGATATTTGAATTTACGCGCTATCTTTGATGACCATAAACATAGCAAAATTGAATCCCTGTGAAAATAACTAACTATAAAGTATATGGTAGACCTGGACAGTCCTGTGGCCGTATCTAGATCAACAACAAATCCTGTGATCCGACTGATCAACAAATCCTGACTTTTTAAATCAAATATCTATGTGGTCTTGTGGCCGTATCTAAACCAATAATAACCATGCGGAGTGAACACCAGTAAATTATTATGAAAGGCAGGACGTACAAAAATAATACTGTACAACTTTGGTAAATTTAACAATTAATGATTAAGATGGTAAAACAACAGCTACATCTAATGGGTGAATACTGCCTTGGTAAACCAAAGTTTGAAATTCCTACCTAACAATCAAACTGACCTGATAAAATCTCCACATTTATCTAGGTGATCAAGTTTAAATATACCTATTTAGGAAATGTAGGTTAAAGTTCACATAATTTATCATTTCATTTCTCATGTTTAAGAATTATTTAAATATGGTTTCAACAAAAAGGAATAAATATGATTTACGAAAATGGCACAATGAACTGTTTCTTTTATATGCCTAGAAAAAACATGAATGACACATAAAAAATGTTTTTGATTTGCTAGCCTTGGTTTACCAGTGCAGTCTGGTGAAATGGCAGGATGAAAGATGACATTACATGTAAAGTGTTATCCATTACATGGTGAAAGAGGGAAAAAATAAAATATCCCATTAATATAATACATTATGCATTGTAAAATAATGGTAGACTTCAATAAAATACCATGAGTATAAAAGTAAATTGTTGATTTTAATATACCATAAATAAATACAGGTACAAATGAAAGTGGAATATAACTTGTGAATAAAATATGTGTATAACAAGATGAGATTTCATTAAATGCCTTTTTTATACTTCATTGAAATCAAAATATTTCCACCACAAGTTACCTCGGCATAAAAGCATGACGGACAAGTCAACTTTGCGTAGCATAATCTCATTTACAACATTTGAAAATAAAGAAATGTTGGTACATGTAGTAGATGTATTATTTCCCCTACACTTTGTATGTGGACCTAACCACTGTTGTATACTTGTATTTACAGACTAAAGGTCAATTACAACATTTCCACAACTGTGTACAGGCACCATACAACATCATATATAATATACAGATATATGAATCTTAAAATACTTATAGCAAAAGTAATATTACATTACAAAATAAAATTGTATAAAAACTTTGCAAATTGTACTTTCAGACAAAAAGAGGAGTGTTTTAGTCTGATGTATCTGAACACATTAGCCAAAAAAAAATAGGATCTTGTAGATTCAAACACTTGCCTTAGTTTGTTCACAACAAAATACCAAAGCCGTATATAACGTTAACATATTGTGACCACCTAGAAGTAACTCAAACATTTAATTAAACAGTGACCAATCAGAGCACAAAAAATAATTTCTGAAAGTTAAATTGCATTTACTGTTATCATCCCTTTTTTTTTCTTTCTTACTTTATTTCTTTTTTACAAAAAGAATATTAATAACTAATAGAAGTCCTAATAAAGAATATCTCAGCATTTCCCTACCAGAACACATCATGTTGGCAATTTTGCAAAAAATGGCTGAAACCAGTCATCAAAAAAACAATTATCAGGAATAATGCTCAGCTTATACAGGATAAGGCACTCAACCTCCTTATGATGTATTTCTAGGTTGAATTTCTGTGTTTTATTTACACCAGGTGGTGAGCGCTGGAGAAACCAAACATAGAACTGTCATGGAATCTAAAGTTTATTTTTAGGACAAATCCTTCTTCTATTGACAGTGTGACTTTAATGAATGTTGAAATATCTAGCATGGACCGAGCAAGCTAGCACCATCCTAGAAACTACTTACTTGAATATGTCTGAGCACATTATTGTTAATAAAATCTGAAACATTATGATAAGTCATAGTTTCACTTCATGACAATATCTAAAATGATGAGAACTAATTTCATGAAAATTAATACAAAAATAAATTTAATGATGTACAAAAGCAGGATTTGTCCAGTGAAGCCGAGTTCACACATATATATTGCTAATAATGAACATCAACATCAACATCACATATAACATTGCATTAGATGTCTTCAATGCAAACATTAGTGGAGTACTAAAAGTTTTTTTCAGTTGAAAGCAGCAATAATATTTGCTAACAGTGACATTTTTGGTAAACTGTATAAAGTATTGCACAACATTATAACCTACATCTCTGTGAACCTGTTATCTATGGTGACCTCTGAATGCACAGTGACCACGGTACCTGGTGACACCTAGGCTACAGTGATTTCAGCTGTGATAGCTGGAGCTGTTTCCTCTATCTTTTTTCCCTCTTCCACAGATTCTACCTCCTTTGTGCTCTCCACTTCTTTTACTTCTTCTTTCCCAGAATCCTTCACTTCGTCCTCTTTCCCAGAATCCTTCACTTCATCCTCTTTCCCAGAATCTTTCACTTCTTCATCCTTCTCCCCAGAATCCTTTACTTCATCCTCCTTCTCCGAGTCCTTTACCTCTTCTTCCTTTTCAGTTTCCTTTGGTGCTTCCTCAATCCCAGAATCCTTCACTTCTTTCTCTGATTCTTCTATCTTAACAACTGCTGTCTCCTCTGGTTTATCGTCCTCATCAGCAAATTTAATTTCATCATCAGTTTTGTCTGCAGTTTCTAAAAAAATAATATGATAATGAGTATTAGAATATCATTGAGATTTTTCTTAGAAAAATTGAGTGAGTTGTGCTGTAGCTTGAAAAAGATTCTGTCTATTAATGACATAAAAAGGAAATGAGCAAGCCTAGGCTAACAAAGTTTAACCCCCCCCCCACACACACACACACACACACACAACCTAATTATGACCTTGACCTTTCATTTACAAGTCTGAGAGTGTTACATTGATAAAACACTAGTGAAGTTGAATGAGAAAATATTTTAAGTTGAGATGTTATGTTTTGAAAATTACATAGTACTTTGACCTCTGGCCATGACCTTGACCTGAGAGTATTGCACAGCACACTGCATGTTTATAGTTAACATACCTGTGAAGTTACATTTGAAAAGTTTTAACCATTTAGAAGATATGGTCCATGAAAACATTACAAACATTTGACGTTTGACCCCATTGCCCTGACTTCGACCTTTAGAAAAATCTAGTGTTAGAGAACACACGTTCTGGACATAACCTAGAAGAAGAAGAAGAAATTTACCTTAAGTTTAAAAAGCAATGCATCTGCCATTTCAAAATTCATTTTACAGGCAAACATTTGAAAATCATTGGACCCCTTACCCTGACCTGGACCTTTGAGGTAGGGACCAAGGAGAGTGTTATGCAAATTCCCAATACGCCATTTGGTCAAGATAAATATATATGTGAAGTTTCATTTAGATATGTCCATCTATATTACCTTTAAAGGATTAACTGATTTTATCGACTTTAGACCTTTCATAGACCAACCTAAAAAGGTGTACAACATTGCAACCTTTACCTTTGACCTTTACTATGCCTTACCTTTGTCATCTTCTTTTGTAGCAGCTTCGTCACCACTGGGACCTGCTGTTTCTTCAGCCACTGCAGCTTTTTTAACCTTCTTTGACTTTTTAGGGCTCAGTGTTGGCTCCTCAGGGGGAGGGATGGGTGCATCTAGGGGTTCGTAACCCTCTAGGTGAATGTACCGGGCGCTCAGCTCATAAACAGCTGTCTGCAGCTCTTCCTTCTTTGACTCCTCTGATGACTCAGTCTCCACCAGGTCCTTGTAATATTTACCAGTCACACCTGTAATTACCTCTACACCTATAGTTACCTGTATCACTAGTTTTTATCATAATTCACGCCATGCCTCGTCTCAAAATTTTCTAAAATAAATTAAGTTGATAAAAGATTTATGATCATCATACAATTTGTTTGTGTTCCACATTTTTTTAAGTTTCTGGCATAACCTTCTTTATTAAAAAGAAATTTTATTTATATTTCTGTCAACCTTACCTTTAAATTTCTCATTTACAACCAAATCCATAATAGCTTTGGCACCGTCCTCCAGGGTTTTGACGGGCTTCATGACTGGACGCAGCATTCCACCGAGGATGTACCGCAGGAAGAACTTCTGACCACCTCCTGCATGGCGGCACAACTCTGTACTCGGTATGAAACCTGAAATCACAAATCATTACTTTTACATGATTTATAAGTGGAAAAGTCTTCTTATTTAAACCAGACTGTATCTCAAGACAGCTTTCTGCAGACCTTTGAGAGTATGATTTTGACTTTTCCAAATGAGCTAAGATTTTTAGGTTGAAAGGACATGTCTATTTGACAAGACATCTGTTTGAACCCTCCCAGAGAAAATTATATACACTGCCCTACCCTCCATCCTTAGGCTTTTATCCTGTAAGGAGGCTCCCATCGTTTTTACCCTTATGATGGCACTGCATTCTACTCCAGTCAAAAGAGTCTTGGCCCTACTTGTCTCTACATCTATGGAAGCATGTCATTTGGATAAACAGATTTCCTGAGTTTTGGGTTGAAGACTGTAACATTGATTGAACATTAACATGACAACTTACCTGGACAGAGCGTGTTCACAGTTACACCTGTGTCCTGGAGACGTTTAGACAACTCGTATGTGGTCAGAACCATTGCCAACTTGGAGTTTTTGTAGCCAAGTTGGTTGTTGTATGTGCCCTCCTTCTCAAGGAAAAAATTCTCCACATCCAATGGTTTCCCTAATCAGCAAAATGACAAAAAAATCATTTATAACTATGAATCTTTATGTACAACAGATTCTGGTGATATATCTTACAAACAATGTCATATATTCATGTGAATTATGTTTAACAGCAAATCATTATATTAGATACACTGGTACATACTTTTCTGCAGCAGCAAAAATAGGCCAGAGCTTTCAAATACTGCGGATAGGAAGGATCATGCAAATTTATACCCCTGTCCACCATTGGTGAAGAGTGAACTGTGTTCTGTAATTGGGTCAATGTGACTTTTATTGATCTCGGACCTATTTTTCAAAAAGATCATTTTAGACCAATCCCCCATAAACATATAAAAAAGAACTATGCATGGTTTGGGCCTTTTTTGGCCCCTAAATCCATAAAAATCAAAAATCTGCAATAGAACTTTCAAACGAATGTTTCTTTAATTTGTAATACTTCCCCAGTACTATTATGTAAACATTTATTTGTGTTTTCAATTTTGGCTGCCATGGTCACCAGGTCTTATTTGCATAAATTATTGAAATTTGATTATTCAGTCAATTTTGACAGGTTTTCACCTAGTTTTTCTCTTAGCTACCATAGAACGCACTCTTGAACAAACTTTATATTTCTCCTGAAGATGTATTACAGGTGCCTACACATTATCCTTTGATATTAAGTTTGTTCAAGCATGCGCTCTATAGTTACAAGGAGAAAAACTATGCAAAATATCACAATATTCACTGAATATTCAATTTTTTCTAATTTTTGCAAATTTGAACTTGTAACCATGGCAACAATAATTAGAAATATAAATAAATGTTTTCATAATAGTATTTGGGAAGTATTCGAAATTAAAGAAACAGTCATTTCAAAGTTCATTTAAAGGTTTTGAATTTTGATGCATTTGGGGGCCAAAACAGGCCCAAACCATACATAGTCCTTAGCATGATTTTTAATCTAGGTTTGGTTTGTGACAATTTATCTTCCCTAAATGTATCCCCATCCGCTTTCTTGCATGCAAGGAATCCAGAGTGTTGCTTACCAAAACTAGGTCACTGCAACTTACATAAATTTTGACCTCTGACTTCAATGAAGGACTACATACATTTTACCTCTGACTTCAATGAAGGAAAGGTTATTTCCAAAAGTGTTTCTTGCAATACGTATAAGCAAAATACAGGCCATATTTCTATTACATGACTGTAGCTTTTTAAAACATTAACATTATTTCGGGTGGTCGCTAGATGATATATCAGAACTTTCTCTATACTTTGTGCACTTACTCCTCGCAGCATTATTTGGGGGCGATGCTGAGTCATGGAGAGACGATGTCACATTGATGATACGACAATCTGCTTCCCCATCGGCTGCTGTCTTTTTCAGGTCATCCAGTAATAGATGAGTAAGCAAGAATGGCCCTATAGGACAATGAGAATACATATACATAATAGTTGTTTGGAATTCTAAGTAACTTTTGACACAAAATCCATCATATATATAACTCAATTGTATCTTATTAACCACTACATACAAATTCGAACTTTTATAGCAAATGCAAAGGTCAATACAGTGTATACGTATTACCCTTCAGAATTCCCAATACAGAGGGTATTAATTTCAAATTTTGAAATATTTAAAACAAAATATTCTTGAAACTCTTCAATAATTTTTCTCAAACCAAGTTAGGCTTCACCTAAAGAATGTTCCCTTTATAACAGACATAAAAGTTTAAGCTACAAGTCATACCGAGGTGGTTAGTTCCCATGGTGAGCTCAAAATTATCTGCGGAGAACTGTCGACGATTTTCTTTGGACAGATACACTCCAGCGTTGTTCACCAGGACATGCAGTTTCTTCCCGGTGGCGTGAAAGTCCTCCACAAACTTTCTCACAGAAGACAGGTCAGCAACATCACACTAGGGACAAACATGACAACAATCAAAGGAAGAATGAACAGTTAAGAGTTAACCAAACAACTGGAAATGGGGAGTCTTGGCAACTTTCATCTATTTAACATGTTCTGGTCCACTTTAAAAGCGAAACATGTTAACTGGATTAAAGTTGACGAGACTCTATATTTTATGTTGTCTGATCATCTCTTCTTTTGAATTTTGATTACTTATACTCTTATGGCTAGACTAGTGATTCCAATTAAGGAATCCATCAACTGGGCATGGGGTATGCTGAACTTCACAGAACTGGTGCATGTTGAATCTCATTCTCTCGTGTATTAGTTAACAGTTAAGATTTTCACTCATTGTTCCTGATCGGTGATGAAGATAACATAATGTCTAGCTATAGGTTATACTGATGATACAATGTATTAAAATTTCAGATGTGTACCTGTATATAAAATACTGAGGCTTAATTACCTGTATATAAAATACTGAGGCTTAATTACCTGCATGAATGTGGCCAATGCATTAGGCGACCGCTTCAAGATTTTCTCAATGGCTGACTTTGCACGTTCTTCACTGCGACAAGCCAGAATGACATCATTTCCTGCCTCACACAGCTGTTCTGCTGCACGGAAACCAATGCCCGAGTTTGCTCCAGTTATTATAATGACACGCCCCGTCATGACTATGGTAGCAGTGTTGTCACAAGGCTGTTGGAGGAATGGTAACTGAGATCATTAGTAGTCAAAATAGCATAGCTATACAGAACTGGGATTACTTACCAAGTAAATTTTATAAATTATCTGCAGTTCATGGAATATGCGTTCAATATCCTCTACATACACTTTCTAACTATCGAAAACAACAGTTCTGTAACAGTATAATTATGTTTGTTCATTTGGTTGCCATGCTCAGATTTGTTCCTCAAAAAAACCCATTGTGGATGTTTGTTTGATGATTGCTTCAAACTTTAATGGTAAATGTTCCAGACCAAATGTATGTGTGAAACAAGTTATAATCCAAGAACCATTGGATAATAGTTTTCATGTGACCAAGGATCGTTTTTACTTTGTTTTCAATAGAAGTAGTGATCTAAAACTTCATTTTTAATTAATGAATTTATTTTATTTAATTATAATTGTTTTAATATGTTCTTTCCTTAACCTAGCATGTCTGAATTTTATTCTGCTTATTATATAATGTTATCTAAACACATGATGGAATTTATTCATAAAGATTAAAATGTAGCTAGTATCAAATAGTAATGATCACTAAGTACGGAATGTGTCGACTATATACATTTCCCAGCAGCGGAACGCATGCCTTATATTGTTAGGGTTTATTTGTTTAAACATATTTTATTGCCAAAAAATGCAAGAGGATTGGGCACAAGTTATTGTTAGGGTTATCTTATCTCTGCCATAGAATATAAACGGCAACAAAACACCAAACAAGGCCCCGCCCATCTGTAGACCCGATTCTGCGATTTCGTGTAATCCATACATTCCTCGCAAATAAGCTATAATACACGATAAATGCACATATAGAAAGTAAAGAAACTGTGCATTATTAATTAATTTTGCGACAATTTACAAGATTAAGAAAGCAAAACCGAATTAATCGCTGTATGTCTTTCGACACTCATGGTGAACGTGATCAGAAGAACGAAAAAGGTGAAATCTTTATCTTGCGATTGTGCAACCAAATAGTAACGTTCTGTTGATGACAGACTACGCGTGTCGACTGTACTTAGCCGATCAACGAAGCGTGAAAAGACGGTCGATCCTGTTATGATAATGCAATGAACATGTGTAACATTGTAATCATAATTTTATGCATCGTTACCTGATGAAATACTCCGTGCTTTTTTCTGCAGCAGTTTTGGCGCGACACAGGAAGTGAAAACAATGATGCTTGACCCACGACGATTACCCCGCGAACATATGCGCATTCATTTTGAAGTCAGTCCAATTTAAAACTATTCGTGTTCAGCACAAAAGTATTTAAATATTTATTTTGTAACTTTGTTGAAAATTTATTAATAATGCATGACTCCTTAGCAACGAATATATAGTGCGAATGGATCTATATTCTATGGACTTATAGTCGTGGTTAGGCACTTCCGGGTTTCGAGCACAAAGTTTTGTTAGAGTTGCCTCCCATGTTCTACACGCCGTGACACAAAGCTGATTTTTATCAATTGATGAAATCATAGGTTATCTAAATCCGTGATGAAATGAACTAACTAGGGCCACAGAATTAGATTCTTTTAAAATAAACAAATTCTGTATTAAAACATTGATTTAGAATTTCATTACATATCGTGTATCTCCAATATCGTTAAAATCAAAGTTTTGAGGCGCGCTAAAACGACTTGAAAAAGTTCTTACTTATTGCATAAGTTTTTGTTATTGAGATTTAAAGGTAACGGGTCATTACAAGAAGTCTTGTGTAAATATTGATATGGATTTTTGGATTTATAGATATAAATATAATTTACTCTATTTTTTTTATTAGCTACCATTTTAGCGTTTACTTTCCTCAATTTTTATAGAAAAACTGAGTAGTTTTTAGCCATAAAAGTTTCCTTATTTTTGTTAAGTTTACGGTTCAAACATTCAAATAGTTAAGAAGGGACATAACTTATAAGACGGTCCGCCTTCCTTGTAAATGATTTACAACGGTTTCATCGTGGCAGCAGATACAAAATTAATATACAAATATTTTGAAATGAAATCCGAAGAAAATATCATATCTACGATGTAGATGATAGATTTCATGTTGTATTTCCCTAAAAATAGACTATAAATAGATTATGCTAGCAGAGACGTATATTACATATCGGTAATGATTCTGGCTTCAGGAGAACACGAACTTCGTTTTTGTTCTTTAGACAATTTGAAAAAGGTTTTCAGAAATTAATTATTAGTTAATATTTCTAACCAGGAAATTAAAATGAGGTTGTTACAATACTTGCAAAGTTTGATAATTGAACCCTGAAAAAAACGGCGGCTGTGATGTGCGATGGAATTCCTTTCATAACACCGGCACTCCTCTCTCGTTCGTTAATTTATTTCAAAAACGTATTCAGATATTACATTATATTTCTAACAAGCTTCTTTATATGAGTCATATATCTAGGATATGTGACATGTTGACACGAACTAACGAATACACGATCGAATTATCATAGGTAACTCACTGACCAGACTATCGTCACCAGGATCGATAAGCTGTCAAAACAAACACTCATGCCGCAACCCAAGTCTCGCAGCGTTTCTCAGGGATGCGTGTTTTTGCGAGATCTGCGTGAGTTGCCAATCTCTGTATTCCGTCTTTGCGTATTGCAGAGTTATCCTCTCTTGGGGGCAGGGATTGATTGTTACGTCATTGGTCTGTGGGAGAAAATTACGTCGTTTTCTCAAAAAATGATGACGGTTCTCTCACAAACAAGTGACGTAACAATAAATACCTGCTCCCAAGAGAAGATAACTCTGCAATACGCAAAGACGGAATTATACGTCTCTGATGCTAGTAAACAATATTATTGAACTAATATACTTATAAGAACAATGTGATTAAATTTGATAATACTATAACTTACTTTTTACAGTCACAAAATGCAATCTACATATGCAATTTAATGTAAATAATGAAATCAGATAGCTTAGTTAATATTTATTCTAGAGGATAAACAGTTTTTTAATAAACATCTTTTCCATGCTGTGAAGATAATGATAAACACTTGTCATGAAAAAAGTATTTATGCCTTTGACCTACAAACAACAGCGACCTATTATTGTGTAGAGATTGCAAACTAACCATACTTTTTATATGGTTTTCCGGTTACTATTTTTAGCTTTAGTACTTAGGGATGCTGGTTAGAAACGTGACCTTGATGTTAAAGATAATAGATTACATAGACATGGAGGTTAATGGTCATATATATACCAGGCGCAAATTCAATTCGATTTATCGTGTTTACATTTAGTTCCTCGGATGATTAAAAAAAAATCAAAATATCAGAAACCCATAATAAAAAACGTCCATTTCATATAATAATAATATTCGTAGGTCGTCTCAAAGCGGTTCACAAATTATTATCCGTGGTTATAGGACCTTTGCAACCAGCCAATACATTTCTCAACTCCCTGGGGAGCATCCTGCCGGAGCTGCCATTTCGGCGCTAACAGCTAGCATTCAATAATTATAGCATTGCCCAACCACGTACTCATTTACAGCTGAGTAGACTGGAACAAGCGGAGCAAAGTATCTTGCTCAAGGATACAACACATTGCCGTGCCGTGGCGCGCCGGCATCCTAACACTGGACTACCGTGCCCCCATAGGAGGCACCTGAGATACAGCAACCTGAGATTTTTTTTTAAATTTAATTTATTATTTTTACAATTTAAGTTCAAATATATGATGGCTACAAATTAAGACTAGTTAGAAAAAAACGTGGATCCAACCAATTTTGTTCAAATTCAATGGCCCGTCGTCTTTAATATATGTGAAATAAAATGACGACAGTTACCAGTACAGTAATTCAGTATTTTTTAGTAATGATTACTCATGGGGTGAATCCGGGACAGGACAGGTGTAACCAGCAGATCCGGAATCCTCAACCTTTATGTCACCGCAACATAATGGATGAGGCAATTTATTAGCACGAATTACGCTATTTCAAAACATAAACTGGTTGAATTTTTATTTTGGAATGAAGATCTGTCCGTAGATACCAATACAGAAGTATTCAGACACGTGTAACTTTTCATCAAATCCAGCAACAGGTTTTAAGTAAAATACAATAATTGTAAAATATTGTATGTATGCTTTGTTAAATGCTATCATGTAAATATCAATATGTACTGTATTAGAGGTGTTTCAGTGATATAAGACAGCTCGAGCGTTCGATATCGATATGTGAAAAGAAATAAAATATACAAATGTTAAACTCTATGATGTACATTAAAGTTGGTACTTTAACAGATAACATATCGATAGGTTTAAATCCTCTAAGGTTAAACAGTATATATTTAGATATGACCGAGTTCACCTGTACACTTCATTACAGGTAGAATTCGCCATACACCTTTAACCTAAGTAGCTTAACTAGATATCAGTAATTAACGCCCGTTTTCAAGTTTCTACTATAAATTTATGATTGCCAGTTCTAAACTTACAATTGTATGTTTAAGGATCCTGTATATTTTCCAAATAAAAAATCACTTTCATGTTATCTAGAATATATTATATGCCAAACAAGTTCAAGTTCTTTATTACTTTAAGTCGGTTGACTTATCAGTTATAACATATATACAAAACAATACAGAGACAACATACAATATGATACACACACACACACACACATACACACACACACACCGTGGAGAGTGAACACTAACCAGCAATCAGCTCAGATCTCCTTTTGTTTGCTTGTATTAAAAATTTGCCCAGATTTCTAATGTCAGATACATTCTCACAAGTAAGCAGTTGAATTAATTTATACATGCTTGTATGTCTTACATAATATTTCTTAATTAATTTCAGCCTTATATCAATATAGCAAGGACATTTTAAAATAAAATGGAACTCATCCTCGATATCATTCAGGTCACATACTGTACACAACCTGTTTTGTCTTTCAGTTCTATTATATCTGCCACACTCAATATTTAACTTATGTGCAGACATTCGAATTTTACATATTTGTTTTAAATAATTTATATTTACAGGTTTTGATAAATAGTACTGGTGACCAAAATCACACACATATTGATACAATGCTCCTTTAGGAGAAGATTGAATTTTTTCAAAACATTCTTGTCTGAATATGTCACAAAGACGTTCTTTTATAATATGAAAAGTGCTATTATTTAAACTGGAGGATTCCCACACATTTCCAAGACCAATTCTGTATAATTCTTGTTTTACACTCATTAACCAAATGTCATTATTACAAAGCATATCATCATAGCATGACCTTAGAATACAATTTCCTACATTTCTCAGTTTTATCCAATATTTGAATATTCGTAATTTTCTAACTATTTTCATGGGATATCTTCCAAGTTCATAATACACCATAACATTACTAGTTTTTTTTATGTAATCCTAATATTTGTTTGCAGAATCTCACATGCAATTTTTCGATGTCTGGTGCGGCATGGAAGCCCCATACTTCTGCTCCGTAACTTAAAACACTATTTACATAAGTATCAAAAACAGACAATTGAGTTTCTATATTAAAATAATTTTTCTTACAGACATTTAATAATGCAAACAAAGCTTTTCTCCCCTGGTCAGCGACTTGCTTTTGAGTATGTCTAAATTTTCCGTTATAATTCAATAGTACACCAAGGTAATTGAATTGATCGACAACATCCAATTTATTTCCTTCGTAAAACCATATTTCATTTCCCCTTAATATACCTCCATTTCTAAACACGACATTTTTTGTTTTCCCAGTATTTACGGTCAAATCCCATTTTTTGGTATAATTTGCAAGAGAGGCTAACATTGTTTGCAAACCATCTGGTGTTTCAGATATGATCACCATATCATCTGCATACATAAGTAAAAACATATTGATATCCTGTATTTCAATAGATAGACAATTATCTGATAAAAACTGCATTTCACAATCATTTACATATATAGCAAACAAAAGGGGTGATAATATTTCCCCCTGAAATAATCCGTTTTCAATATCAAAAAATTCGGAGAGTGTACCATTATATTTAACACAACATTTCACTCTTTTATATAATGATCTGATCACTTTCAGATGTTTACCTTCTACACCTTCTTTGATCATTTTTTATGTCTATTAATAAAATCAAACGCTTTTGTATAATCTATAAAACAACAATAGAGACGTGGTGTTTTTTTTAGAGTACGATTAATTAAAGATTGTAA